AACAACAACAACAACAACAACAACAACAACAACAACAACAACAACAACAACAACAACAACAACAACAACAACAACAACAACAACAACAACAACAACAACAACAACAACAACAACAACAACAACAACAACAACAACAACAACAACAACAACAACAACAACAACAACAACAACAACAACAACAACAACAACAACAACAACAACAACAACAACAACAACAACAACAACAACAACAACAACAACAACAACAACAACAACAACAACAACAACAACAACAACAACAACAACAACAACAACAACAACAACAACAACAACAACAACAACAACAACAACAACAACAACAACAACAACAACAACAACAACAACAACAACAACAACAACAACAACAACAACAACAACAACAACAACAACAACAACAACAACAACAACAACAACAACAACAACAACAACAACAACAACAACAACAACAACAACAACAACAACAACAACAACAACAACAACAACAACAACAACAACAACAACAACAACAACAACAACAACAACAACAACAACAACAACAACAACAACAACAACAACAACAACAACAACAACAACAACAACAACAACAACAACAACAACAACAACAACAACAACAACAACAACAACAACAACAACAACAACAACAACAACAACAACAACAACAACAACAACAACAACAACAACAACAACAACAACAACAACAACAACAACAACAACAACAACAACAACAACAACAACAACAACAACAACAACAACAACAACAACAACAACAACAACAACAACAACAACAACAACAACAACAACAACAACAACAACAACAACAACAACAACAACAACAACAACAACAACAACAACAACAACAACAACAACAACAACAACAACAACAACAACAACAACAACAACAACAACAACAACAACAACAACAACAACAACAACAACAACAACAACAACAACAACAACAACAACAACAACAACAACAACAACAACAACAACAACAACAACAACAACAACAACAACAACAACAACAACAACAACAACAACAACAACAACAACAACAACAACAACAACAACAACAACAACAACAACAACAACAACAACAACAACAACAACAACAACAACAACAACAACAACAACAACAACAACAACAACAACAACAACAACAACAACAACAACAACAACAACAACAACAACAACAACAACAACAACAACAACAACAACAACAACAACAACAACAACAACAACAACAACAACAACAACAACAACAACAACAACAACAACAACAACAACAACAACAACAACAACAACAACAACAACAACAACAACAACAACAACAACAACAACAACAACAACAACAACAACAACAACAACAACAACAACAACAACAACAACAACAACAACAACAACAACAACAACAACAACAACAACAACAACAACAACAACAACAACAACAACAACAACAACAACAACAACAACAACAACAACAACAACAACAACAACAACAACAACAACAACAACAACAACAACAACAACAACAACAACAACAACAACAACAACAACAACAACAACAACAACAACAACAACAACAACAACAACAACAACAACAACAACAACAACAACAACAACAACAACAACAACAACAACAACAACAACAACAACAACAACAACAACAACAACAACAACAACAACAACAACAACAACAACAACAACAACAACAACAACAACAACAACAACAACAACAACAACAACAACAACAACAACAACAACAACAACATGTTCAGATATGAACCCAAGCTGAGAAATGAATACGCACTCTTCCATTTATGGGTCCACGGAAGGCAAAACAGGAAGTAAAGTTCAAAAAACCACTTTTTATAGCATTGTGTACAAGCTTCACCAACTTGTCGCCCCCCCCCCCCAAAAAAAAAGCGGCGTGCCAAGGCCCATCGAGCACTCGGAAACTGTGATTGCATACATGAGCAAACAGATTTTAGCACTTAATCAGCTAAAAAAGCTAAAAAAAAAGGCGATATTCATCAAAAAACGCAATAAAGGGCGAAAGAAACGGGCTTTTCCAAAAAGGGCGAAAAAAGGGCGAGCACCTTTGGGAAAGGGCTATCGGGCAGTGCTAGTTGTCGTAAGCTGTATAGTGATGATATCTTTTCGATATTAACTCGCGGAAGGTCTAAGTTTCATCTTGTTGTGTTAGAAGCTCTGTATATTCGTAAACTAGATCCAGAACTATGTATACAGAAGGAGAATGCGTTATCGTCGCAGTTGTTTTTGTGTCACAACTCGTGAAAGTGTGACAAGTGTTTCCTGATGTGTTCAACGTGTTTGTCTACCGTAGTGA